GAACACTGGTGAAGTGTGTGAGCTCTCTATGCCTGGGCTCCAATCTCAACTTCACCCACTACTGGTCTTGTGGCCATAGACAAATTGTTGATCTCTTTGATACTGATTCCTCAGTTGTAAAATGGGAATAGCAAAAGGCATTTCATTTCTATGGGTAGTTGGAAGGACTTAATGCATGAATAAGGGTAAAGCTCTAAGCATAGTGCTCGGCATGGAGTAAATATGCTGTTATTAGTGTAACATTATTATCTCCAAGTATAATGGTTAAGGTAAATGTAGAGGGCTGGCAGGTGGTATGGTGGTTAGGGGTGCTGGACTCCCACGTGGCCAACCATGGTTTGAGTCCTGGACCTGGCAGTTTGCTTTCTCACTTTCTTTCTCTCTCTGTCTGATCAAATTAAAAATAAATAAATAAATACAGTTAAATAAAATAATTCTTAAAAAAGGTAAATGTAGACACGATTGTTTCATGTTTTTCTAGTCCTAGAATCAGAAATAAAAGTAGGGACATATTTTAAGCACTTACTGTGGAAGAATACTCTCAACTCCTCTCCCTCACAGCGCTTTTCTCCACCCATTTTTCAGCGGAGATAGAAAGCTCAGAGAGGTTGGGTGACTTTGCCCAGGGTCAAGAAACTAATGACCACCAGATCATCACACCCAGATCTTTTAGGACCTTCTCGAAAGGGTTCATTCCTAGAAATGTAGTAGAGTGGGAATTTGCACCTCCCCATCAGACTCTGAGTAACTCCCCAAGTTTAACCCATTCTTTGTTCTTTAGGAAATAACTTCTCTCCCCTGAGCCTCAGTCTCCTCAGCTATAAAATAATGGGAGTTTGTAACAGTCAGGGTTAGCATGGCTAGTTGCTGAAACAAGCTACTCCCCTCACCCCCTAGCAATCTCAGCGGCTTAGCACAAAGGTTTATTTCTTGCTTACAGCGCAGCACACTGTGGGTTGATAGGGGTGGGGAGCTCCATGCAGTCATTCAGGGATCTGGACTCCTGTCGTCTGGACTCCCTTTGGCCTCAGAGTTCATTCCTGGCTCCTGAGCAGTGGCTACCAGGGGAGGAAGGAGAGGATGAAGAGGTACACTGCTTTAAGCCCCTGCTGCTCGAGGTAACAAGCCTCGCTTCCATTCATGTTTTGTTGGCAAAAACTAGTCATGGGGCCAGCAAGATGCAAGGGGTTGGAAAGTGTGATCCACCTGTGGGCCAAGGAAAAGAGAGCCCAGGCCCTGGTGACAAACAGCATCTGTGCCAGGTGAGCTGGACTGTGTGATCCCCCCTGGCCACTGGAGCGCCCAGGTCAGGACTCCTGGGTCCTCCCCCATGTGCAGCCTGGGCCCTCCCTTCCTGAGGCTCTGTTTCTCCTCCTTCCCACCCAGGAAGAGCACCCATCCCTGCCAAGCCTCCTGCGAGGGTGGGTGGGTGGTGAGATAATGATCTTACCGAGCTTATTGCCTCTTGGAAGGCAGGTGCTGGAGAAAGACCAAGTCCGCTTTGATTTTTCTCCCTGTTCCCTTCACATTCCTTCTCGGGATAAATTTAGCCAGCACTTGCTTTGAACGGCAATGCCCAGGATGCTGACGTTTTGTCCTCCGAGTGGATGTCAGACCATTTTTCATGGTTACGGAACTGGCCCAGCCTCTGTCGTGCCCTAGACATCCATGACCCATACTCTCAACCCTGCCCGAGATCCATGGGCATCAGATGCCTCGTCTCTGAGAAAAGGGCCTTGACGTCTATGACGTGGGACATACACAGAATCCAGAAAGGCTTGGTGATCTTGCACAAGGGCTGCCCACATCCCTCACAGCTGTGTAGAGCTTAGAGACGGAGTGTTAGGGGTGATGAGCACAGACCTGGGTCATCAGTGTAGATCAGGCAGGCCACCTTCTCGTCTGTCTCCATACCCTCAGTGAGTCCTTGAGATGAACTGAGATGCTTCTACGAAGGGGTTTGCATATAGTGCTGGTGCTCTCTGTCTGGTGGGTGCAGAGACAATGACGATCCGTTCTTACTCTCAGGCCAACTTGAAAGCCACAGGGTGGACTTCCCGGAGCCTCTGCCCGTTCCAAGTAACTTCCTTTTCAGACTTGAGACTCTCCTGAGAGGTCTCCTTGGAGAATCGTGACCTTGGTCCTCACCATCTTTACAGGACTGTTGTCCCGTTGGGTGTCTCTCCTGTTGTCCTCCAGCGGCCGCAGCTCAAATTCATTCTACTTCGCCTTGGTCTGTCACTCTCATTTTGAAGATGGCTCAGCCCCTTCTCCCCTGGCCTGACCTCTGAGACTTCCCTTCTTAGGGCTAAGTGGCAGCCCTTCTTTTCAGCCTCCTTCCTGGGCCCACTCACTTTTACCCTGGGTCTTAGTCCCTTGCAAAGATCCGCTTGCCTCCTCTCCTCTCCCTTCAGCTGCAGATCCCGGGGGAAACACCTTCGTGATCTGGTTCCCTTGGAACCGTTTTCCTCACCAAATGGTTTTCAGCCTTACTCCGGCGACTGGCTTTCACCCAGGAACAGGCTCTGGCCACGCCCCGCACAGGCAGACCGCAAGCATGCTGCCTGTACTCCTGCCCTCGTTCCTGACCCGGGTCAAGCTCTCTCTAGGCCTTAGCTCCTCTGTAAAGTATGTGTGTGGCGGAGGTGGGGTTCACGGTAGGAGTCCTGGGAGGAAAAAGAGGGGCTGAGTGAAGAGACTCTTCCCAGAGGTGCATGTGGGCTAAAGGGAACCCAGGGCTGCCAACGCGAAGAAGCTGCTACCACCAGGTCATGGGGCAAGGGACAAAGCAGTTCCCAGCACCTGGAGAAAGTTGAGGCTGAGGCTGCAGGACAGGGCACCCTCCCGGCTCTTGGTTTGGGGTGGGGGAACTGAGCCACGTGCTGTCCAGGGCTCAGCAGACTAAACGCCCTGGTCTTTCTTTGCTCCTGCCCTCTGATCTCCTGTCAGTACTTCCCATTGACTGAACCCACCTGGAAACAGAGGGCAGGCAGCTTGGTGGGAGCAGCGTCTGCAGGCTCCAGGGCTCAGAGCTGGGCAGAGAGGGGGCAGAAAGTAGGTGAGAGGGTTAGAGGACAGACTAACGCAGGGATCGAGACAGTGGCTGCTGGAAGAGTTGGTTTCAGCCAGTGTTTACTCAGTGTCAGCCACAGACCTGCCAGGGAGCATAAGTGCCCCCATTTTTATAGACATGGAAATGGACACCCTGAGGGTTAGGTGACCTAAAAGGCCACACTCCTAGGAAAGGTGGAGCCAGGATTTAGACTTGCTTTGGCCTGACTCGCAAGTCCCCGGCTGCCATCAGAGAAGACAGCGGCTGAGGTTTGACGGTTATGGTGACCCTTCCCCATGGCAGATCATCTTCCTCCAGTGTCTGGAACCACTCCCTTACTAATGCACCGAGAGCTGCGCACAGCCTTCTCCCGGCTGAACAGCTTCAAATGCAAATCTCCTCAGAGGGTATCACATGGCGCCCGGACTGGACCGCTTTCAGAGAACGAATTTCTCAGACCCCTGCCAGGAGAGGTCTGGGAATCTACTGGGACCAGAAAGGCAGAAAGGGAGGCAGCAGGCACCAATCAGAGCAAGGTTGACCCCACACCCCACACAGTCACGGAGTTTGCTGGGCCCTTTCGCTCTCATCGTCTCTTCAACTCTCACCCCTTTCCAAGGAGACCAGCACCGGGAACCCACTTCACAGCTGCGGGCCGTAGCCCACAGCGGTCCGCTTTGCTCATTAGAGGTCTGCTGTGACAGGCAGAGCCACACAGGAGAATGCACCCTGACTTGAGAAGCCAAAGGATGCAGCCCGACACAGCAGGCGAATCCCTCCCCCACCAGGGGCCTCCGTAAATGGGAGCGTGGACACCCACCTCTGTGTGTGGAACACCCCCCACTGTTCGTGGTGAGAATTAAATGAGCTTGTTCCAGCCCAGCTCCTGGCATCCACAGCCCAGGCAGGGACGGTAGAGAGGACTAAGTCTTGGGCTTGGGCAGATGCAGCTTGCAGTCTTACCTGTGGGGTAACCCTGGACAAGTCACTTAACCCCTGGTAGCCTCATTTGTAAAATAGAGCCAGAGTCAGTTCCCTATTCCTTAGGTTTGTTGCAAGGGTGAGATGAGATGAAGATCCTGAAAGCACTTTTTTTTTGCTATAGGGCACGTGCGCTCTTCAGAAAGATTGAGAAATCACCCCTCAGGGGGGATGGCCAGGCCACAATCCTTTCTCCTCCATTCTCCTCCTGGGATCTTGGGCACACACACACACACGCCCAGTGTGAGTTTAAGCTGCTGGGTCTGGGACTCGAACCACGGTCGACTACGTGGGAGTCCAGTGACATAGCCATTACGCTAACTGCTGGTCCCCTGAAAGCACTTTCTAAACAGCTCTATAAATGCAAATATACTTCTTCAGTAATAACACAGCCAGCATCAGTGACTTAAGTATCTGTCCTGTGTTTCTGAATCCCTGAGGGCTATGGTTTCCCCCCATTCTTATGGCAACCCTATGAAGCAGGGCTTTTGTGTTTTCCCGCTCATGAATGAGGAAGTTGTGTCTCAGAGAGGTTAATTAACTGGTCCAGGGTTGCACAGCACCAAGCAGCAGAGACAGGCAGGCTGAGAAGCCTATAGGGAGGGGACCACCCACAAGGAGCTGGACCCCGGGAGACACGTAGAGTCTGGCAGGGCTCAAGCTTTCGTACAACTCTGAACCACTGAAGGAGATTACCTAAAAGGCGGCATTGTGGACCCACCCACAAAGGTGCTGATTCTGTGGGTTTGGGGTTGGGACCCAGGAATCGGCATTTTTACTACTTTCAAGATGGTGCCCGCGCAGGAAGTCAGCCTCAGCGCAGGGAGGACGGTGGCCGGTGTCTCACCAACCTAGCAGTGAGGGTTGCTTGGTAAGTGCAGGTCGCAGGGGCCCGAGAGGGGCCCTGCAGGTTCAGGCAGGAGAGGCAAGAGCCCACCGTGGACCCGTCTTCGCCTCTGGCCTCCAGGTTCGCCAAGTACTACAAAATGGAGAATGGCAGCGAGTACCGCACCCTCCTGAAGGCTTTCGGCATCCGCTTCGACGTGCTGGTGTACGGCAATGTGAGTCCTTGGGCTGGGGAGTCCGGGTGGGCGGGGAGGCAGCCCAGACCTGCTCTGGGCCCTGAAGAGGCTCCTCTGGAGGGCAGCGGGGAGGCTGGCAGCTGACCAGCTTTGAGACCCTCTGCTGGTCCTAAGTCCCGTCTCCATACTGTACCGCAAAGGGAGGGGACCTGCTGATTCAGAACCCACCTGGCTCCACTGTCTCTCTGGTTGGGAGTCCAAGTGCAACCTCAGGGCTCCCCCTCCCTGCTGGGTGCTCTGCCCATTCGCCTTGGTCTTCATGTACGCAGGCTGGCAAGTTCAACATCATCCCCACCATCATCAGCTCTGTGGCAGCCTTTACTTCCGTGGGAGTGGTGAGTTCAGCCCCTGTGGGCTCTGACAGGCCAGTCAGGGTGGGACCCAGTCCAGCCGGCATGGTGGGAGGGGAGTACCCAAGGCAAGCCCTGCTTCTGCCTGGGAAGTGAGGCCCTCTCTCTCGCTGGGTGTTTCTCCTTCCCCAGCTCCCTGCTGAGTCTGCCCTGGGTTGAACACCTCCAACCATGGAGAGCTCATTACCTCCCACAGCAGCCTGCCCATTATCCAGAGACCCCCAACTGTTGCAAAGTTCCTGTTTCTTCTCATACCGGGCACATATGCGTGCATGCCCAAAATCCCAACAGGAGAATGGACGAGAAGGGATTGCGGCATGGCCATTCCTCCTTGGGAAGTGATTTCTCACTTTCTGTCTCTCTAGCTCTCTGGCAAGTATATGCACGGTATAGCAAAAATCTCTCTCTCAAAAAAAAAAAAAAAAGTTCCTGTTTTCTTACAACGGGAGTGGGACAGACTCCAGGGAGTCCACAGTCGTAAGATGGAACATAGCTCACCTGGTGGGACAAGGACACGGCCTGCTCCCAGGCCCTTCTGCCCCTAGTCTCTGCTTCTGCCACCGCATCATCTCTCTACATAGTTGTCATCCAGAGTTGCCCCAGGAGGCTGGGAAGGTGGGCCCTGAAGACATCCTGCAAAATCCCTGTGCATTTTTCTTTTTTTAGAATTATTTTATTTAACTTTATTTATTTATTTTAATTTGACCAGAGAGGGACAGAGTGAGAGAAAGAGAGAGGAAGTGAGAAAGCAAGCCGCCAGGTCCAGGACTCGAACCATGGTTGGCCATGTGGGAGTCCAGCATCCTTAACCACCATGCCAACCCCAAGCATTTTTCTAAGAAGAACATCAGTCAGGCCTCTCTGGAGGACTCGCTGCCACCCAGGCCTGCTGTCTACCCACTGTCTGGGCAGCTCAGGCCACCAGCCCAGCACTGCCTGCTGTCCAGTCCCCTCCCAGCCCAGACCAGCCCCACTAGCCCGCCTGCCTCTCCTGCCTCTCCTGCCTCTCCTCCGCAGGGCACTGTTCTCTGTGACATCATCCTGCTCAACTTCCTCAAGGGGGCCGAGCAGTACAAAGCCAAGAAGTTTGAGGAGGTGAGTGTGCTAAGGGTCACAGAAGACAGAGGGGCCAGAGCAGGTAGGCGTGGACACCAGGGGATGCTCAGTGGCTCATCTTCCAGGATCTTCTGAAGGGGGGGTTTTGGCCTCTGTGAATATCTGGGTCCAGACAAGAGAGAGTGGGCTTTGTGGAGAATCTCAGGGTTCTGTGAGTCATCCCTGGCAAAAATCACCAGCCTCTCATGGTCCCCTTCCCTTCCTGGGGCAGGACAGAGCCTGCTGCAGGGTGGCTCAGTCTCTGCTCACCCTTGGAGGACAGGACTGGGGCCACATAAACTGGCCCTCGCTCCCTAGTGAACAGTCCCTGGGCCCTTGCTGGTGCGGCAGGCAGAAGGATCGAATCAGAGACCCTGCCCACAGTTGGAAACGACAATGCCAACCCTTCTGTCTGCAGGTGAATGAGACGACGCTGAAGGTCACAGCCCTGGCTGACCCAGTGTACCCCAGCGACCAGACCCCAGAGGAGAAGCAGTCTACAGACTCGGGGGCCTACTCCATAGGCCACTAGGCACCCCCGGGTCCCACACTCACCCGAGGGCCCCAGGCCTCCTAATGAGGCCCACTTGGGCAGTGGTGGGGAGGAGAGGGGTTCTCATCCCTGCAGCTCACCCCATGAGGCCACAGCAACCCCCCAGGTGTCAGGCCTCCTTTGCTCTGGCAGACAGGTAGCACTCCCTGCTAAGAGCTCAGTCACACCTCACCCCTACCGCACCCCATCTGTTTCCCACAAGTCCCAGGGTTGCAGCCCTTGAGTTCGCCCCTTCCAAGCATAGCGAGAACCGCGGTAATGACACGTGGCCACTGGGGCCTACCCCGTGCTAGGTACTTGCACACACATTATCTCATTCAATACTTAGAATAACCCTACCAATTATGAATAGATAGTAGTTTCCCTGATTTAAAGGTAATCTGAGGCTCAGAAAGGCTGAGTCATTTGCCCAAGGCCACACAGCCAGGAGATTAGTCCGGGTCTGACCAGTGCCGTCACCCAAATCCCAAGAGAGAACATGCTGAGTGCCTCCTTCCAGTTGCCAAGCTGCCTCCCTACCCCTGAGGGGCCACAGCGACCACCTAGGTGTCAGGCCACACTTAGCTTAATGAAGAGTAGTAGGCCCCACGCTTTCCCCAAGCTCTGGCCCCATTTGGGGAGGCCAGTTAGACAGCACGCAGTCTTATCTCCGACTCTGTGGGTCCCGGATTCAGAAGGCATGACGGGGCACATGAATGTCGGTGAATATATTCCTACCTCACCCAGAGCTCTGTCTCCAGATCAGAGGTGGGTTCATTCCTGTTCTCCCTCTGGGCCCCTCACTCTGGCAGCCACTTACGCCACCCCCAGGTGGTAGGTAACTCCGAGACCTGGGGTCCTGTCTTTGCAGGTGAGGTCCAAGGGCTGAAAGGTTCCAGGGAGCCCCAGGGCCCTGTGAGCTGCAGGGCCACTCCCCACGGGGCCTTACTCAGCTGCTCAGTCCTCTAAGGTTAAGCTGAAGGAAAGCATCTTCCCAGCCCCCTGGCTTACAAATGAGCAAACTGAGACCCGAGAAGGAAATGCCTTGCCCATTGCCACATAGTGGCCCAAGGAGAGCCCAAGTGTCCTGCCACTCAAGGAAGGAGACAAGAACAGGCGTTGGAAGTGCTGCCAATAATGTCAGGTCTCCCCTGCTGCCTCCAGCCTAGATGCCCCCTGTCCCTTCTCTGGTCCCTTACAGTGAGAGGCCCAGAAATCTCACCAGGGCAGAGCCCAGAAGCAGACCCAGGTTTTGTGAAACCTGAGGTATATACAATTTGGGGATATCTTAAAAAAACAAATACAAAATTAGGTGTTAAAAGAGGCCCATATAAATGCGTGTCCCTGAAGTATACCGTTTCCTTAGCTTCATGGTAAATCTGCCCTGGAAGAGCAGGAGTGTGGGACCGAGTGTGAGGTCCCAGCAGAAACCAGCTCAGAGCTCAGCTGTGGATGGAAGGTCAGAGAAGTGGGCCGGGGCGACGCTGGGAGGTTGAGAGGCTCAGTGCGTACTTGCAAAGGCCCAACCCTAATGATCCCCCACCCTGTGGGGAGAAGGGGTAAACTCCTCCGTGCAAGGCCCACCGCCCTTCTCTCACTCTGCCCTCACCGACAGCCCTGTGCTTGGGATGGTGGGGTCACATCTCCCCAGGACCATCCGCGAGAATTGGGCAGCACGCAGAGAGCTCACCACACTCCATCACTCTGGCAGAGCTACCCATGACAGTGCCACATTCCAGCCAGGAGGCCTCAGGGAGCCCTGGCGAATCCACCCTCAGGAAGCTGGAGTGTTCCCGAAGGAGAGGGAGGCAGCTGTGTCCCAGAGGCCCCTCCCTTCCCTCCAGGCTGTGGTGGTCCTTCTGCAGCTGTCTCGCCCCCACCCCACCCCAAGCCTGACTGTGTGTTCTTCCCTGACTTGTCCTCCCCTTATCTGGAGTAAGTTACTGCTTCTGTGCACTAGATGTAGGGTCAATATCAGTATTTACGACAGCTACTTGTCTTTGTCGCATCATGGTTTACTGAGCACGCTCCAATGTAATTGCATGGACCCTCACACCAACCCTGGTGGGGTTCCTATCGTTTTTTTTTAATTATTATTTTATTTTATTTATTATTCTTATTATTTTAACTTGACCAGCGAGAGACAGAGAGGGAGAGGGAAAGTGACAATGCAAGCTGCCAGGTCTGGGACTCAAACCGTGGTTGGCCATGTGGGAGTCCAGCTCCTTAACCACCACGCCACCTACCGGCCCCCCTTTAGTTTGTTATTAATCCCATTTGGTAGGAAAAAAAATCATTTATGATACATGGAAACCAGAACTGGAAACCATGCTCATCACTAACACTACGTTGCTGCTTCCTTTACTCGGCGTAAACACTAAACTTTATTGATTGCTCGCCCTTAGCAAACATGGGCTGAATGTGGGACAGGAATGTCTGATTCAACCTTTGTTTTACAGAAAATGGAACTGAAATTTACAAAAGTTAAGGAAGTAAAATGGGGTAATAGGGACTTGAACCCAGAACTTTTGGACTCTGGAATCTGGGATCCTGACTTTTGTGCCCTATCTGGGAAAAATCAGGAAATTCATTGGCACCTTCTTTGATGTATCAGTTGGTTAGGCTAAACTAGGTTTGCTGCAGTAACAAGTAAAATCTCACATTTTAATACATAAAGTAGGGTCAGACAGCCTCTTCCATTTGGTAGCTATGCCTTTGGAGTCACGTGGACTCCCAGTGGGACACTGTGGAAGGTTCAATAACTGGGACTTCGTAGGGGAGAATTTAAAAACAGGCCCCGGGAGGGAAACAGCAGGTTGCATGATGGTCAAGACACTGGACTCCCCCATGGCCGACTGTGGTTTGAGTTCCAAACCTGCAGCTTGCTTTCTCACTTTCTCTCTCTGGTGAGTGCACATGCCCTGAACCAAATTAATAAATAATAATAATGATAAAATTAAATTAAATACTTCTTCCAAAAAAAAAGTCAGGCCTGGAAATGGCTGAGTTCACTTCCAATCACATTCCATTGGCCAGATCCAATAGGCTTCAGAGCCCAACTTTACTGCAAGGAATGCTGGGAAATACAGTCTTCTTCCGACTTCAGGAAGTGAAAATGGTGCACACACGCTGTCTCCCACTCGTTCTCTCTTCTTTAAGGGCTTATCTTCTTCCCCTCTACTGCACTCCCACCATACCCACTGATAATCCCACATGTCCTTCCCTTCTGTGTTTCTTCTAACAAAACCTTGTTCTCAGCAAGTTGCCAATCAGCTTCCCAGGGGTTTAATGGGGACGTAACATTCTGGGGAGTTTTTTCTCTCAAGAATATTTGCTTTGGGGCTGGCTCAGATGGTTTGTTGATTAATGTTGCTCAAGAGAAGTTGGATCCCTCCTGGAGACTATGGTCCCTGGCCCAATCAGCCTGAAGCATGCTGGGTTTGTGCACGAGAGCCCAAGAGCAGATGGGCTGGGGGACTAGAAGAAGAAGGTCGTGGCCTGATCAGACCCTGTGGAGAGGGCTCACCTCTCACTCTCATGGGTTTGCATGTGCGCTGTATCATGACTTAAAAAAAGGGAATATCTGCTTTTAAATCAAAGGTTATTAAAAACTAGAAGGCCTTAAACAGCCAAAGGAATGAATGTATAAAGGGGTTGAAGTCAAGGCCCAATAACAGATAGAGCTGGAGATCTGAGGACCATTTTATGTACCCCGGTCTGCCTCAAAAAGGCTTCCATCTGGGACCAGCAGTTAGCATAATGGCTATGTCTCTGGACTCCCATGTAGTCGACGGTGGTTCGAGTCCTGGACCTGGTGGCTTAAACTCACACCAGGCGCATGTGCGTGCGTGCCCAAGATCCCGAGAGGAGAATGGAGGAGAAGGGATTGTGGCGTGGCAATCCTCCCTGGGGGGTGATTTCTCGCTTTCTATCTCTCTGTCTCTCTTGCGAGCACACGTGCACTATAGCAAAGAAACCTCTCCCCTCCCCCCAAAAAAAAGGCTTCTGTCTGGAGGGGTCTTCATCCCCTCCTTTCCCCTCCCTACCTCTGCCCCTGGTTTTGGCTACTAGATGGTAGGCTATTGGCTTGAGTCCATTCCCATCAGGGAGGTAAGTGGAGGCTGATAAAAGGGTTTGGCCTTCAGCTGAAATACCAGTCCCGGAGCTCCCTAGGCCCAGCTGGCCTCCCCACCTACCCTTCCCACGCACCAGTCAGAGCCCGTTCTTTCAGAAGCAGAGCGTTAAGAATTGGCTTATTAGAGCCAACAGATGACCTAGGTTATGTCGCTGCTCTCCCACATGGCCAACAGGTTGAAGTCCCAAACCTGGTGGCTTGAAACTCATGCCAGGCGCCTGTGCATATATGCCCAAGACCCTGGGAGGAAGATGGAGAAGAAGGGATTGTGGCATGGCCATCCCCCTGGGGATGTGATTTCTCACTTTCTCTCTTACCGTATCTGTCTCCTTCTCTGTCTCCAGTGAGCATATGCGCCCTAAGGCAAAAACCTCTTTAAAAAATAAATAATTGGCTTATTGCAGTGTGGGGGCCCTACTCACATTGGGGCAAAGTTAAGGGCAGCAACAGTATTGCCCCTGCATGTCCCCAAGTCCTGGGAAAGTGTGAGGGAGAGCAGTGAGGCCTGGGCTGTGAAGTGGAAAGGGAGGAACCCCACTGCGGCCAGGCACTGACTGGCTCCAAGACCCCCCGGAGGGGCAGCCACTGCCTCCTAAGAACGTGGCTCGTGCAGAGTTCGGAAGGGAGAGGGGACACAGAGCACAGCCACCCTCCTGGAAATGAACTGGAAAGCACACTGCAGAAGAGGCTGGGGGCTTCGGATGCTCCCAGAGGTGGTGGAATAATGGAAAACGCAGATCAAAAAAGTCCCAGGGACCAGCAAGTGGCGTGGTGGTTAAAGGCACATGGATGACCATGGTTCGAGTCCCAGACCTGGCAGCTTGCTTTCTCACTTTCCCTCTCTCTCTTTCTCTCTCACTCTGTCCGTCTCTGGTCAAATATAAATAAAGTTAGATAAGCAATTCTTTAAAATAAAAATGTCTCAAGATTGGGGCCGGTAGGTGGCCTGGTGGGCCCTGGTAATTAAGGGCGCTGGACTCCCCCCATGGCCGACCATGATTCGAATCCTGGACCTGCAGGCTTGCGTTCTCTTTCCTTCTCTCTCTCTGTCCCTCTCTGGTCAAATATAAAATAAATGAATAAATATATAAGAAGAAAAAAAATGTCTCAGGGCTGGAGAAGCCCGTGCTGCCCAGAGACATGACTGCCTCCTCCCCACATCCCCATGGTGTCCCAAGGTAGGATCTCAGTATTTCGTGCCATCTCTCGAATTGGCCCCAACGTCTCCATTTTCGGAAGCTGCCCCACCCCGCACAGCAGCACGTTCCCCGAGGCAGGGCCTCCGGAGGGCCGCCTAGTCCCAGCTCCGCCTCCAGGTGGCGCCGCAGCCAGGCCGCCCTGCCCTGCGGGCTTCCACTTTTCCGCAGCGCGAGGACTTCCAGGATTTTTCCAGTCTGGGGGAGTCCCCCGACATGAGCAACGAAGAAACAAGAGTCAGAAGTGCTATGGGAAGTCTGAATTTATGACCAGAGGAAGCTGGAGGACAGATCCCAGATCCGAGGGTGGGACAGGGCCAGCCAGAAGTGTGAGGGGCGCAGGTTCCAGGGCAGGGTTCTCGGCGCCCCTGGCTTAGAAGGAGCAGACGAAGGGCAGGCGCCTTCGGCACGGGGCTCGTCGCCAGTGGCCCCCTAGCGGTAGAGGACACAGCGATGTCAGCTGCCCATCGGGGTCTGGCCCGTGACCACCTCCCTCCCTCGCTGGGAACCTCATATGTCCCCGTCGCCATTACCTACCCTCGGCCACACAAGGCCGTAGCCCTCGCACCTGGCATCTGTCCTGGGCCCCACATCTGTGCTGGAAGCTGGCGTCTTGTCTCCAGCATCCCTAATTCCCTCATCTTGCCTTCTACCTTAACCACCCTTTATAGTCACACCTGCTGCTCTCATTTGTCACATCAGTCACTGGAACTTGTCACCCTCCTCTCGGAGGAGGTAAAGGAGCCCTCACCAAGCCCCCCACCCACAGGGCACCCCCACACCCAGTTTCGCGTTGAGAACTCCCTGTATCTCAGCCCTCCTCACAGATGGGGCTTTGGTTCTCCAGTTAGGAGGAGGGTGTGAGATGGGAAGGCGTGTCCAGGCGGCTCTTTGGGACAGTATGTGAGAGTCCACTTCACCCTGGTGCCCAGTCCCCCTCACCTCTGGTACATAGGGCCACACAGTGTCCTCCCCCATTCCCAGGCTGCCCTGCGGCCCAGTATCCAAAATCCCAGCGGCTCCCATCAGTCCAGCGAAATCTCTTCCACCAAAGCTGGAGAAATGACAGACTGAATCAGAAGACAGAAAGCCAAGAGGACAAGCAGACCAGGGGCCCCAGAGAATACCCATGGCTGACCACTCTCACTGGCCAGAAGCCAGACACCCTGCAGACCCGCCCCTGATGGTTGGCAGGCAATGACCACAGAAGAGCAGTCATCTCTTTCAGCCATCACACAGAGCGGGCTTCTCAAACTTTCCTGTGCATGTTCATCTCCTGGAAGATCTTGTGAAAATGCAGATTCTGATTCAGGAGGTCAGGGGTGGGACCAGAGTCTGCATTTCTAACAAGTTCCCAGGTGGTGCTGATACTACTGGTCTAGAGACAGTACTCAAGTGCAGCTACTCACAATCCTGAGCCACCCTCCAAGAAGCCCCCCATTTTGGAGATGAAGAAACTGAGGCTCCAAGAATGTTAATCAGCTAGTAATGACTGAGCTTGCCTGGAATGCATCTCTTCACTCAGTGGTGGGCTGATAAATGTTTACAAACCAGCTCTGGAGGTGGGTGAGGAGATGGAACTTGTAGCAATTGCCAATATCCTTAGTGTAAATATTCCTAGTGGCTGATTTCAAGCTATAAGCATATAGTCACTGTATATGAGTTGGAGTTGGGCCAGCTAGTGGTGTGGTGGCTAAGGTAGCTGGTCCCACATGGCGGACTGCACAATCAGAGCCCCAGACTTGAAAAAAAAAAAAGTTGGGTGCATGAGCGTGCATGTCCAAAATCCCCAAAGGAGAAATGGAGAAGGGATTGCAGCATGGCCATCCCTCCCACCCCCAGGGAGTGCTTCTCCACCTTCCGTCTCTCTTTCTCTCTTTTTCTCTGTCTTTTTCTGTTGAGCACATGTGCCCTCTAGCCAATTAAAAATATAGAGATGAGTTGGCATTGGAAGAGATGTCACAATCAGTTCTCCTGAGCCAGTACATCATTGCCTGACACCCTATGGACACCTTAGCTGTCTAAGGACACCTTAAGACTCTCAGAAAGCATTTCCTCTACCTGGGAGTTGGCCCCTGACTTACGCAGCCCTTGAGGATGCCTCCGATCCAGATCTGGCCCTGGTTGACCCCTTTGGCCAAGGTCTGAACACGAGAGTTGAAACTGAAGTTGTGGATGGAGATGAGGTAGCCTCGGTAACATCTCCTGCAGATACGCTACAAAGAAGAAAAAGAAGGTACAGGATTTACTCTCATTTATCTTGCATTCTTGGGTTTCCAGGTGAGAGCCCCGTATCACTTTTTTTTTTTTTTTTGAGAGATTTTCACCGGAGGGCGCATGCACTCCCCAGACAGACAGAGAGAGACATAGAGACAGAAAGTGAGAAATCCCCCCCCAGGGGGGATGGTCACGCCGCAATCCCTTCTCCTCCATTCTCCTCTCGGGCTCTTGGGCACGCACGCACACGCGCCCGGCGTGAGTTTTAAGCCACCGGGTCCGGGACTCGAACCGCGGCCTACTACGTGGGAGTCCAGCGACATAGCCATTACGCTAACTGCTGGTTCCCAGCCCCGTATCGCTTTTCAGGTTCGATATAACGGACCTAATCACCTCCCTACATCTTATCATTAGTTTCTTTATTTTTAGAGATTTTTTGCTATAAAGTATGGGTGCTCACTGGAGAGACAGAGAGGCAGAAAGCGAGAAATCACCCTCCAGGGAAGGTGGCCATGCCTTATCTTTTGTTTCTTAATCAGTTGTTAAAACGTTCTTGCAAGGGACCAGCAAATGACATAGTGATTACATTGCTAGTTACCCACATAGTTGACCACAGTTCAAGTCCTGGACCTGGCGTTTTTACATTCACACCAGGTGCATGTGTGTGCGTGCCCAAAGTCCCAAGAGGAGAGTGGAGGAGAAAGAATTGTGGCATGGCCATCCTCCCTGGAGGGTGATTTCTCACTTTCTGTCTCTCTGTCTCTCTCTGTCTTTCTCTGTCTGTCTGGTGAGTGCATATGCCCTATGGCAAAAAGTTCTAAAAAGAAAAAAAAAATCTTGCAGAAAATAATAACAGCTGCAATTAATTGGTTGTTTACTCTGACCCAAGGATTACTCTAAATGCTTTCTGTGTGTGATTTTACGTCCTCCTCACCGCAATCCTGAAACGTTGGTGCCCTGTGTCTTCATTTCACAAAGAAAGATACTGAAGCTCTGAAATGTTAGATGACATGCACAGGTAACACAGCCAATGAAAGGCAGAGCTGGGGTTTAGCACAGGTACCTCTAGTAACAATGCCTTTGTGTAAATCAGTGGCTCTCAAAGTGCAGTCTCCAGACTGACAGTATCACCCTTGCCCCCAGGAATTTGTTTTAAATGGAAATGATCAGGCCCCATTCAGACCTTCTAAACCAGAAATTGTGAGGGCTGGGGTCCAGAAATCTGTTTTAACAATTTCTCCAGGAGATTCTGAGAATGAATTGAAAACCACCAGTCTGAATGAAAGGAAACAGAATGCCACGTCTACACTCTTCTCCCACCCAAGTCCTCTGCAGGAGCCTCCCTGCCCCTTACCTGAGCTCTTCTGAACCTCCTGGGGGTCCGCACCAGCAGATAGCGACAGGTCTTGCACCCAAGACTTCCCTGCAATTGGACTGTGTCCTCTTCCCTAGGGCACTGCACGTTCTCATCCAGGTCAGTTGGGTCCGACTCCTCCTCATCCTCAAAGGTGTCTTGATACCTAGAAGCCTCTTCACCTGCTGACTGAGTCGCCTTCTGGATCAGGGCCAGCTCTCCCTCTTGCTCCCCTGAACTTTCCAGATCCTGGCCCAGGTTTGTATTTGTCTCTGGGCTGTCCAGATGGAGGGCATCGCTCTCTGAGAAGAAGAGGTAACCAACCATCATGTGGGAGCTCTTTCCTTCCAGGACCACGGACAGCTCCAAGTACTTCACTCAAGGACCCAATCTGCCGCCTAGACTGGATCTCTTCAGTGCTATGTATGGAAAGATCTCTTGGGTCACACGCACAAATAGACAGGAATCTGATATCTGGCTGGTACTCTAGGTGTGTAGAAAGGGGTGATCGAAAGCACGCTGGGAAGCCTGGAGCAGTCACCACCCCTTTATCTTTTTTTTTTCTCTTTTAATTTTAGCTATATGGAGCAAGCTCTTGCTGGAGAGAGACAGAGAGAAAGAGAGAGAGAGAGAGACTACCCACCAGGAGGATGGCCATGCCATGACCCCTTCTTCATTCTCTCAGGATTTTGGCCACACACACAAGCAGATATGTTTTTCAAGCTGCCAGGTCTGGGAATTGAACTGCACGGTTGGCCACGTGAAATCCAGCCACCCTAATCATCATGCTACTAGCTGGTCTGGTCCTTCATTTTAATGGCTAGTTTTTCCTTACGAAGGATTCCTCACAGAAAGTTCTGGTCACAAGACACATCTTAGCGAGATGGGTTGGGTCAAGTGAAGAGGGCCTGTGATCCTAGCCCCACAAGAGAGGGGGAAAAAGAGTGTAGGAAAGAGGACAAGAGGGGAGGATGAATGAGAAGGGGAGGACTTACTCAGATGAAGAGCAGAAACTGTCACCAACAGAAGGGACCCGAGCAAGAGGCGTTTCATGCCTACTGCACCTTTCTCCTTGGGGGCGTCCTGGGGTGTCTAGCACAGCCCCTGGCACAGCGTAGGTGCAATGTTAGATGGGCCGATGGGTGAAAAAGCAAACTATATTACTTCCTCCACCAATGACAGGACCCTGAGCTGGAGAATCTGGAAAAGAAAGGAGGGAAGGACACTCGGGTACAGCAGTCCCTTTTTCCTAGATTTCCAACTGTACTCCCCAGGACAGCACTTAGCCCAATCCTCCCCCTGCAAGAATAGGTCTGCCCAAGCTCAAGGCTGATTTCACTCATGCTGGGGAGGGAGGAGGAGAAAGGGCATGGCTACCCTGGTCCCAAGGAAAGGCTCCCTGGGTGTTTGCCATATAGGGTCCTCCTTTGTCCTAGGTCCTGGACTTCTCCCTGTGCAGGCAGGGGAGTACTTACCTCCCAAGAGTCTGAGGGATCTACTCCCAGGGCCTCTGGTGCTGCACTCCTGAAGCAGTCCTTATACTGGGCTTTTAGGGAAGTGGGAAGAGGCCACGATGATTGCTCCAGGCAGGCCAGGGCAGAGAGCTGATAACAGTTTGCTCTTCTTCTGTCTTCTCACCACAGGGCTCTGCTCTCTGCTGGGCCTGCAGCGACCTGCCCTGGGGCCAGTGCCATGTATGCACTGTATTCCATGTTTGCCGCATGCCCTAGTTTGCTTGAGAAGGCCCCGGATGTTACACTTGTCATCCAAGCATAATTATTATTAGTGCCTTGTAATGTGTCCCAGCCGGAACAATACCCTTCATTCCAGGAGCAACCTCCCACTGGCCCCCACTTTCCACGAAGTGACAGTGGAGATTCCTGGGGACCACGGGAGAACAGGAGAGGAGGAGGTAGGAGGTGAAAGTGGAGTCTCAGCTCTCTCAATCTCCATCTCCAGTAAAGAGGTACTTCATGTATATCACATCCTTGGCCCTCACCTCACCTCATCCCTGCCAGGGACTCATGGTTCTCCTTCCCAGATGAGAAAAATGAGACTCAGAGAGGGAAAGTGACTTGGCAAGGATACGTGAGAAGATGGGAGATGGAGATTTCTAAGTTTTTGTTTCTGTGTTTTTTCTCCACAGCCTTCCCATCTCTCTCCATTCTCTTCTTCTTTTTCTCCCCTCTCTCTCTCCTTCTCCTCCTTCCTCCCTTTCTTTCTCTCCCATCTTTTTGTCCTTCGTTCCTCTCCCTTCCCTTTCTGGCTCCCCTTTTCTCATCTCTAATATGTGAGAAACCTATGCCCTTTCTATAGGTTGCATTTTTCTCAACCTTTGCACTATTAATATTTGGAGTTAATCGTTCTTTGGTGGGAGCGATTGTCCTGTGTGTTGTAGAAAGTCTAACAGCACTTCTGATAGGGAGGTGCCCCAGTTAGGACCATCAGAAATGTCTCCACACATTCCCCAATGACCTCTAAGAGTGTGGTTGCCCCCACCAAGGATCACCGACCTAGCGTATGCCATTTTGTCCAATCTCAAAGCATATCTTCAGGGCTGGCAGAAAGACAACTGCTATAATGAAAAACTTCGTGCAGTCTTTCCCTCCGTAGACCACCTCCTCAGCTCCTCCTCACTCCCACCTCCCTCCAGCACTCTATCCCCAGCAGGGTCAGGAGTAGGGTCAGGTAGGAGAGGCACTCATCTCGGGTACAAAATAAGGGAGTGTTAATACAGTAGTCGAGATAAATAATATCTTCATGACAGCTTTCTTTAAAATCAACATTAATGCAAAACATCCATGATAAGTAAAGTATCAAAATTTCAACCGATCAAGCTCCAGCCAAAGTCACTGCAATCCAAAGAGAGGCCAGGAAGGGCCGAGCCCATGCTCTGCTGGAACTCCCTGCAGAGGGCTGATGGTTCTGTCAGGGTAAGTGACGAAACTCAGAGACATCCCCGTGGGCAGTGTACATTGGATGGGCAGTGCGGATTTGTTCCTCGCATCCCAGCCTCGCTCTCCCTCGCTCAGGGCAGCAGGAACAGCTGGCCCAGAGGGCGAAAGTGCCTGGATCCCTTCCCCCTTCTTCACTCTCCTGAGGGACCTAGAAATGGAGAAGTATCTGAGAGGTGACCTCCGGGCCTGATTGCAGAGTAACGGCCTCAGTCATTATCTCCCCACTCCAACGGACCAGACCCTCCACTTATCTGCCCGACCAGAAGAGGATCGACCAATTCCGAGGTCTAAAAGCCTGGTCTGGGGCCAGCAGGTGGTATAGTGGTTATGCCACTGGTCTCCCACAGCCAACCATAGTTCGAGTCTTGGATCTGGTGACTTGAAACTCACGCTGGGTGTCGTGTGTGTGTGTGTGTGTGTGTGTGTGTGTGTGTGCCCAAAATCCTGAGAGGAGAATGGAGAAGAAGGAATTGTGGCATGGCCATCTCCCCTGGAGGTGATTGCTCACTTTCTCTCTCACTGTCTCTCTCTGTCTCTCTCCTCTCCAGCGAGTGCACACACCCTTTCGGAGAAAAAAAAAAAAAGAAAAAAACTTTAAAAAACAAAAACAAAAGCAGGGGCCTGAAGGTGGCATGGTGGTTAAGGTGCTGGACTCCCACATGGCTGACCACGGTTTGATCCTGGACTTGGTAGCTTGCTTTCTCACCTTCTCTTTCTTACTCTCTCCATTTCTTTAATCAAATTGTCTCTCCATGTCTCTGATCAAATTGGAAATGTAATAATAAATAAATATAATTAAATAAATCATTTTAAAAAATAAAAAGCCCTGATCTTCAGATTTCAAGCTGGAGACCTTCCTGGTGAGGGAGGGACTGGAGGGCTAGACTGCATTCCCCATGAGTCTCTCTTACCCTGGAGCACAGGCCAGGGTCCCTATTTTATCTGGTGGTTGGGATGACCAATAAGAATGGCGACTTTCATGAACCAGCACCACCATAAACTTTACATACTCATTGCTTCATTTCACAGAGGAGGAAAGGGCATGCCAGAGAATGTATTTTTATTACTATATTTTTTTATTTTCATTTTTGCTCTGGGGCATGAGCACTCAACAGAGAGAAAGAGAGAGAGAAAATGGGACAGTGAGAAACACCTCCCAGGGGGATGGCCATGACACAATCCCTTCTCCTCCCTTCTCCTGGGAATTCAGGCACACATGCACACGTGCCCAGAATGTTTCTCAAGCCACCAGGTCTGAGACTCGGACCATGCAGTGTGGGCCATGTGGGATCTATGGCCTTAACCACCATACCACCAACAGATACAGCATACCCAGAGAGTTTCTGACTTCTGTGCGATCTTGGGCAAGTCAGATTCAGGCCTCAAAGTTTCTTATCTACCCAACGCAGCCTTTCCTCAGGCTCCTCTCATGGGCCTCCCTCAGGTTGACCCTGTTTTCTGCTCACACAAAGACACTCAGATGCCTTCAGGGACCACAGTGATGCCTGTCTGGTTTAATACCAGAAAGAACATCTTTGAAAGAGACCAGGCACTGCTTTGTCTGCTTTTGATAGCCATTATCCCGCTTAATTCTTGAAAATCGTCGTGGAGTATTGTCGTCTCTAGTCTCCTGCGAAAGCTCACAGAGGTTAAATGACGTGTCCGAGTTCACATAACTAGTAACAAGTGGAACACCAGAGACCCTAGTTTCTCTGACTCCAAGTCCTTGCTTTCTTTGATAGGTCCAAAGGTATTACCTCAGACAATCCAGCCAACGGTGTCCATGATTTCAGCTGCCGTGAAATTGGTTTGCTGTTTGCATTTATGTTCATGGTTTCCAGTTCTGCTTCCTGTCCTAAAATCAGCACAGCCCCGCATTCTGCAAAGGGTGGGCCTTGCCATCGTGAGAGGCAGTGGAGTGTGAGGTACCATGAATTCACAAGTTCTGGGGTCAACCCATCGACCTCTGTGGTCTCATTTGTACATGGAGGACAATGACAAGACCTGCCTCTCATGAGATCAGATGGAGAAAATCTATCAGAACGGTGTCGGCACATGGGGGTGGCAGGGAGGTGCCCTTGTCAGGACACCAAAACTAGAACTCTGGTCCTTATCAAGGAAGAGGTAGTGAGTGCACTGTTGATGGAGCTTGCTCCGTGCTTCGCACCATGCAAGGAACTCCAAGGACACATTGTAAAGACCTTGTCTTAGGGCTGGCCTGGTAGCCTGGTGATCAAGGGAGCTGAACCCCCACATGACCCACTGGACCATCCAAATTCCAGACCCAGAGGCTTGAAAAACATACCAGGTGCATGTGTGCCCCAAATCCTGACAGGATGCAGAAATGGAAAGAGGAGAGAGTGCAGTAGGACCACACCCCGTTGGGGGGCGCTTTATCCATCTCCCTCTCTGTCTCTGTCTCTCTGGTGAGCACACACCCTCTGGGAGTGGGGAGTCAGGGGCCAGCTGGGAGGTAATGTGGTGGTCCACGAGGCTGGATCCCACAGGCTGACGGTATAGGTCAAATCACTGACCCACGGGCTCGAAACACAAGCTGGGCACGTATATGTGCATGCCCAAAATGCCAGTAGGAGAGGAAATGGAGACGGGGTTGCAGCATGGGCTCACCTATGGGAGTGCTTCCTCCGCTCCTCTCTCAGAGCACACATGCCCTCTGGCAGATCGAAAAAAAAAATAAGTTGTAATTTCATAAATCTTTGTATCTTTTTGGAGATACAAACCCATATTTGGGGATGTAAGACCAGTTCCCTATTGTTTTACTTTTTTAAAAAAGGAAATAACTTTTTTCTGAGTACATAACATGCATCCTACAAAGTACACTATGCAGTAGACTACTTTAAAAAAAATTTTTTGGCGGGGGACCAGCATTTGGTGTAATGGCTATGTCATTGAATTTCCATGTAGTCAACCGCGGTTCAAGTCCTGGACCTGGCAGCTTAAGCTCACGCTGGGTGCGTGTGTGTGCATGCCCAAGATCCTGAGAGGAGAATGGAGGAGAAGGGATTGTGGCATGGCTATCCCCCCTGGGGGGTTGATTTCTCACTTTCTATCTCTCTGTCTCTCTCTGTCTCTCTGGCGAGCGCACATGCCCTATAGCAAAAACCTCTCCAAAAAAAAAAAGAAAAAAAATTTTTTTTAATTTCCTATTGAGAGAGAGAGAGAAAGTGAGGCTGCACCCCTCCTTCCCCAGAGGGGATGGCCATGCTGCAATCCCTTCTCTTTCATTCTCCTCTCAGGATTTTGTGCAAACACACGCATCTGGCATGTTTTCCAAATTGGTGGGTCCTGGACTTAAACCACAGTCAGCCACGTGGGATCCAGCCCCCTTAACCACCACACCACCAGCTGGCCTGACTCAAAGAATTTTTATGGTGAAGCCACCAACATAGCCATGCCCAGACAAAGGTACAGAACAAGACCAGGCGTCCTGGTACCTCTTTCCTAATCCCTTCTGGACAGTATTCCCCCAAAGGTGATCTTCGTGGTCTGAAGTCACAGTTCAGTCGCAAAGCACACCTCTAACAGAAGAGATTAATCCAAGATAACGTCCACCTACCACTTAGCAGAGAACCTGACAGTTAGGTAAATGTTTAATAAATTGGGCATTTTCTGGGGGTGGTCCTTAAAAAAATGTATGGAAAATAGGTGTTATGAGAAAACTATGCATGGATTTCAATTTTTTGTACCAAAATTGATTTACATTTCAATTCTATTCTTCACAAGCTTTTTAAATGTTATTTTTAAAATTTTTATTTATTTACTTTGGAGAGGTTTTTGTTATAGGGCAGGTGCGCTCACCAGAAAGAGAGAGACAGAGAGACAGAAAGCTAGAAGTCACCCCCCAGGGGGTATGGCCATGCTGCAATTCCTGGTCCTTCATTCTCCTCTCAGGATCTTGGGCACACAAGCACACATGCCCAGCATGAGTTTAAGCCACCGGGTCCAGGACTCGAACCACAGTTGACTACATGGGAGTCCAGCAACATAGCCATTACGCCAACTGCTGGCCCCTAAATTTTATTTTTAATTATTTATTTTTAAAATTGTATTTATTAATTTTGCATACACTCACAATATATCATTATAGTATACAAGATTAATTTTCCCATGCAGAATACACTGAATATTGGCCTAATCAAAGATACTATTTGGGACCAACAGAAGGGATAATGGTTACATCACTGGACTCTTATGAGACTGACCATGGTTTGAGTCCTGGACCCGGTGGCTTGAAACTCACTCCAGACAGATATGCATGCGTGCCCAAAATCTCAAGAGGAGAATGGAAGAGAAGGGATTGGTGTGGCCATCCCCCCTAGAGGGTGATTCTCGCTTTCTATCTCTCTGTCTCTCTGGCAAACATATGCGACCCATAGCAAAAACCTCTCTAAAAATAAATAAATAATTGTTTTTTTTAATTAAAAAAGACATGGTGGAGCTGGCAAGTTACATGGTGGTTAAGGTACTGGACTCTCACATGGTCCACTGCAGTTAGAGTCTTGGATTTGGTGGCTTGCTTTCTCACTTTCCTTCTCTCTCTCTCTCTCTCTCTCTCTCATCAAATTAAAAAATAATAGTAATAAGTAAAATTTAAATTAAATAATTTTTTTTAAAAAAAAGAACATGCTTTGGAGTGCATAGAGTCAAATCCCAGCACTAGTCATATTCAGATATGTTCAGATATTCAGTCTTAGAGATTCTTATAACTTATAAGATCATAACTTATCTGAGCCTCATTCTGTAAAATGGGGATAATAGGGATAATAATTATTGACTGCATGGGGTCAGCTATGTAGGGTGTCTGCCAGAATAGGAGATACTTTGTGGGTGCTCAGTAAGTGGTAACAATTGGGATGGTATTGTGCTTCTTCCTCTTTTCTTTTCTTTCTTTCTTTTTTTTTTCTTTTTTTTTTTTGAGAGGTTTTTGCTATAGTGCACATACATTTGCCAGAAAGACAGAGAGAGACAGAGAGAGAGAGATAGAAAGCAAGAACTCACCCCCCCCGAGAGATAGAAAGCAAGAACTCACACCCCCCGGGGGGGGGATGGCCACGCCACAATCCCTTCTCCTCCATTCTCCTCTCGGGATCCTGGGCATGCATGCACACACGCCTGGTGTGAGTGTAAGCCACCAGGTCCAGGGCTCAAACTGTGGACGACTACATGGGAGTCCAGCAACATAGCCATTATGCCAGCTGCTGGTCCTGGTATTGTGCTTATTTTATAAACAACATCATATCCCTGAGTGACAGGAGACTGCCTTACATCCTCAGTCCTTGTTCAGAACCTGACACTGAGCAAGCTGTCATGTAGTGGGGTTCCCCAAAAGCAGATCCTGAGATAAGGCTTTGAGTGCATTCGTTTATTGCGGAGGAGCTGAGCGGCTAGCGAGGAAGCAGAGAATGCACACAGGGGAGGGTGGCAGCCAATAAAACGTCGGTTAGAAGGCCAGCCATCCTGGGGGAACCGGAGTTTTTCCCCTAGGGAATCCTAGGGACAGCGCCCAGCACATGCTTTAGATTTACTCCACTTGAGGGGCAAGGATCTGGGTCCTTGTTCCCACTCTGGGAATTCTGCCCTGTTCCCAGGTACAGTTTAATTTTCTCACAAACCAATCACAGTCCTGGGGTGTAGAGAGAAAGAGTCAGAAAGAAAGGCCCTTGGGCATGGAGATGCCAACGGGGCCACTGGGAGTCCTGAAAGGACTTGAAAGTCCTGGCAACACCTGCTGTGTGAGTGAGTACACAGGGATAGGGTGTTCTAGAAAGAGAGCTACCTGAGCCCATTCCTCAGTTTCTAGAAGCCCCAGAGACTCCACTCTCCTGCGGTTCTCCTTGAATAGTGGTAACACTAACCCCTTCCATGAAAAGTTTCCAGTGGGAAGGGATTGTACCATAGAAAGTTTAAATGTGGGGCTAAGCAGGGTGGACCAATACTCAGAAGAGAAAAGAGATCTGTTTCAGTAAAGCAATTTTATTTCAGGAAGGTGGAGGGAGGGGCAGCAGGCAGGAGCGAGGAGGCAGCTCTGACCCCTCGGCTGGGACAGGCTCAATAAGAACAGACGAAAGGGAGGGTCCTGCTGCACTCAGCCCGTCGCCAATGGCCCCCTGTGAAGGCAGAACAGGAGTGGACCTTCAGCCTCTTGTCTACCCTCACCCAGCCCCCAAGAAGCCTCCCATCCCACCCCTGCCTCAGTGGACTAAAGTCTAAAGACCCAGCAGACCCTTCTCTTGGAGGGTCAGGCTCTCTTCTGGGCACTTCATCCACAGGGCATTTCCCACTTCCCAGACCTTGCCATCATCCATTCCCAGCTCTCCTCACCTTTGGTGCACAAGGTCACACATGCTCCACCACGGGACCAGGGCTGGCCAGAGGCCCAGAATGCAAAATTCCAGGAGCTGCCATCAACCCACTGAAAGCGCCGGCAACTTCCCTAGGAAAGGCAGAAGCAAAGAGGTGGGCTGGAGTCTAAACCCTTGGCAGCCCCTTGAATGTCTCACCCAGGTGTTCATCTACCCCCAGTTCTCAGGAGACCACAGAGGAGAAGCTCAGACACATATGCAGCAAACTGAGCATTAGCTGGGCTGAGCAGGTGCTCCCCACCCAGACCTGGTGCCCCTCTTTTTCTAATGATCGATTAATTTTAATTTGCTGTTCACTAGAGAGAGAAAGCAAGCCACTAGGTCCAGGACTCGAATCACAGTCAGCCATGTAGGAGTCCAGCACCCTTTACCACCACGCCACCTGCTGGCCCCAGCTGGTGCCCCCCTTACCGAGCCTGTGATCAGGCCTCCGATCCAGATCTGTGCCTGGTTGAGCACTCGGACTGTGCTTTGGATTCGGAAATTAATGTTGAAGCTGTGGATGGAGACAAGGTTGCCCCGGTAGCAAGTCCGGCATGTATTCTGCAGGGCAGGATAAAAGAAGAAGAATGGAGTGTACAAGAATTCATATGGCCATACTCTTAGGTCTCCAAATTTCCAAAATTCATTTCCTCCCTTCCTCCCCCACCACAAACATTTAAAGGCTGGAGACCAAAACACAACTTCTGTTTCTCCAAGGCCCTCTCCTCTTGCCCCAGAACCTCTGCAGCTCTCTGCCAACACCCCCAGGGCCCTTGACAGGGAAAATAACCAGTGATGTGGAGGCTGAGACATGTCCTCCACTCCCTCTCGGCCCCGTCATTGGCCTCAGCCATGTGCAACTCACCTGAGCATGAGTAAAGCTCCGAGGGCTCCTCACCAGGAGGTAGCGGCAGGTCTTGCATCCGGGGCTGCCCACCAATGTGACTACATCGTCCTCCTTTGGGCACTGCAGGTCCTTCTCCACCACATCCAGGGCAGAGACCGGCTCGACAGCCCCCTCTTCCTCAGGAGCACCTTCACTTCCAGAGCCCCCCTCCTCCTCTTCCTCCAGCAGCCTCAGCTCCCCAGGAGAGGTCTCCGGGGCCTCCTGTTCTGACATCACCTTATCTTGAAGCAGGGTCTCATCTCCCAAGAAGTTCTCGACGTGGGAGGTTTCAGTCCCTGGCAGGGAGAAAGGTCAAGTGTCAGTCAATTCCTTCACATCTTTCCGTTCTTCCCTGGAACCATGGACAGCTCCCGCCTTGCCAGAGGCGTCAGGGCATTCAGCACCCTCAGCAGAGAAAGGCAGAGCCAGGCAGTGGTGGGTTTGGAGGACCCATTAACTACGAACTTGACTATTTCGTCTGTGAAACTGGTATACAAAGCCAGGGGCCTCATAGGGGTGCTATGAGGATTAAAGGAAATAATGCATGGGAAATGCTTAGATTGTGCACTCCATCAGCTCAGCGTAAGAGAGCCGTTACTACATACCATCATTAGAGTATGTAAAAAGGTCAAAATTGAGAATGCCACAGTCCAACCAAGGTCACAGATGAAGCAGATGCCCAGGAGGTCCCTCCAACTCCCCGCTATGGAGTCCCTGCTCCTTTAAGTATACAGAGATTCTGAAATAGGGGATGGTCAGAGAAGGGGGGTGAGTAAGGGACTCTGACCCCTTTACCTAGAGAAAGGGGGCAAATAGAGAACGAAAGCGTGAAAGTAAAGACAACTTACTCAGATGAAGAGCAGAAACTGCCCCGCAGAGAAGAGCCAGAAACAGGGGGAGTTCCATCTTGGTTTGTCCTGAGGTGGAGAACACAGTTTCACAGATTGTCATTGACACACGCATGCGTGCACACACACACACACACACACACACACATACACTTCACAGCCACACTATTAGGGCAACCTTAAGAGTGAGGTGGGGCAAAGAAGGCATGATTAGACATGAGGACGGGGCATCAAAGCTCCGCTGAGCCCAGCCCTGACGCTTCGGGATGCCAGGACCTCTTTCTGAATTGAATAAAGCAGGGCAGTGGCAACAGAGCTGACCCCATGCAGAGTCCTTGGTGTGCATCTCAGGGCTCCCTGTTCATGACAGGTGCATGCACACCCCTGACCTGAACGACGTGGCTGGGAGCACGTTGTGGCATGAGAACTCTTTCGGGCATACCTGTTTACTCTGAAGGAAGATATAAATGTGTGAGGTGGCGTTGAAGCTGGCTTTCCTGCAGGCCTGGAAGTGAAGAAGGGCGTGTTATATTTATTAGGACTCGATGAGTCTCAGAGTCTAGGAGACAAGAGTGGGTGGAGCAGCGGCGGTCCTCTATTCCTAGAGATTCACAGCCCTTGGAAAGCGCACCCCCATCTCACAGTTCAATAAGCCCCATGCACCCCCATGTCCTCCACCCTCTGCATTCCCCAGCCTAGGAGGGCTTTTGCACACTCAGGAAGAGTGTGCAAGGCAAAGGAGGAGGAGTCCCACCCCGCTGACCCCTGGAAACCTGAAGCCTCACACAGTCCCCACCAGCCGTCCAGAACCTCTCAGGCCAGACCACGTGCCTCCTGGAAACTGAACCTTCAGCTCCCTTGAAACGGAGAAAGCTCTTACCCACCCAGACGTCTCCCTGGGTCTTTAGGAGTTTCCGGCCTCAAATTCTCCTTGTTCCGTCTCACGCCGACATTTTATATGGACGCCTTGAGGAAGTTCCACCCCACCCCCATGCCTCAGCCGAGGGAGAACGGAGGTCTGATAAGAACCATTTCCTCACTTCCTTGGGGAGCCCACTCACTCACTGCCAGATTCGCTCCTGCCAGGCCCATCAGAAACCTGGGGGCCATGCGGGCCCCGCTCTGGGCTGATAGTCATCCGACTCCCAGGGAGCTTTTTCAAAACACACACTTCTCCTTGGATGTGAATTGTCACACGTATTTTGAGAACCAATCTTTCAATATCTATTAAAATGACAAATGTGCGGACCAGCAGATGGTGTAATGGTTATGTCACCAGACTCCCACATAGTTGACCACAGTTCAAGTCCAGGATCTGGTGGCTTAAAACTCACACCGGGCACATGTGCGTGCATACACAAGATCCCGAGAGGAGATGGAGAAGGGATTGCGGTGTGCCCCCCCCCCCAGGGGATTTCTCGCTTTCTGTCTCTCTGTCGCTCTGGTGAGCACATGCACCCTATAGCAAAAATCTCTCTTAAAAAACAAAACAAAACAAAAAAAAGTGAGACTTCACCCTCCTGCACCCCCACCCCCAGACTAGACAAGGATCCAGGACAAGCCAATCAGCAGCCATCTATATTTGAGTTCTGATTCAGTGAAAATTGAGGGAAAATTCAGGGATCAGGACCACGGAAGACCCTCTGTCCAGACTTCAGTCTCCTGTCCCTGAGACTAGCCACGGAGCCAGGTTGGAGCATCCTACTTATTCTCTCTGTCTCTCTCCATCTCTCTCTCTCTTTTAAATTTTTTGTTTTTAAATTCTTAAACTCCTTAGCTCTCTGCCACTCTTTTTAAATCTTACTTTCCCCCTTCCCCCACAAGATAAGCCAATCAGCAGCCATCTCTATTTGAGTTCTGAGTGGCCCCATTTGCATGGCGTGCTAGTGCACTGTGTGTTTTTCTTTTTTTTGTCAAAAAACTTTTATTTTCATTTTTTTGCTTTTGTCTTGGTTTTTTTTTTCTCTCTCTCTCTTGGTTTACTTTTTCCCCCTTTTCCTTTTCTTTTTACGTGTCTCACTTTTCTGCTCAGCCTCCACGAGGTCTAAGTGCTCAGTAGCCAAATATCTGAATACTTTTAGGGTCAGATTAATTCTCAATTTTCACTGAATCATCTGTGCAAAGGGAGAAAAATGATACTGTTTAGAGACAGCACGTCACCTCCTCCTGCATGCCTCTGAAAGCTCAGATTTAACTCCAAATCTAGGCAAAAGCGTGTAATCCATCAAATAAGAAACCACCACAGAGGCAGAAAAAGTATGGAAACCTAGAAAATACCTCTCCCCTAAGGGAAAAGAATAACTCTCCTTCCTCCCCAGAAAACAAGGGGACTCATGGAAATGTCAGATCAAGAATTTTAAATATTCACAGTGACAAAGCTGACAGAGCCGCAAGAGAAGAGAGACAATGAACTCCAGAAGTTGCAGAAGAGACTAGTTCCAGGATGTTAGGAAGTTCCTGCAGGATCTGAAAGAGGAAATGCACAGCATAAAAAAGAATCAAATGGAATTGTTAGAGATGAAGGCTGCAATAAAGGAAATCAAACCTCCCTTGAAAATATCTAAAGAAAATTAGATTGTACAAAAGATCGAACCTCAGATGTAGAAGATAGAACCTCTGACCTAGAAAATTTCACCAAAAAGACTGAGAAAATAACACAAAGAATGAGAATAATATATAAGTAATACTAGATATCATTCAATGCCCAAACATATGGATCATTCGTATCCCAGAAGGTGAAGAAATTAATAAGGGCATTGGTAATCTGTTCCATGAAACCTGGAAGAAAACTTTTCAAATCTAGAGAGGCATTCAAATATCCAGATCCAAGAAACACAAAGGACCCCACATAGATTCAGCCTAAGAAGATCTTCCCCAAGGTGCATCATAGCCATATTAACCAAAATCACAGACAGAGATAAGATACTAAAATTGGCAAGAGAGAAACATCAAGTTACTTTCAAAGGATATCCCATCAGGCTAACATCTCATTGGAAATAACGCAAGCAAGGAAAGAATGGGAAAATAAATTCAAAATGTTAAGTGAAAAACAATTTCAATCAAGAACACTATATCCGGCAAGATTATCCTTCATATGGGAAGAAAAGCTGGAAACGTTCTCAGATAAACAAAACCTGAAAGAATTTATCAACACCAGACCAGCAATTCAAGAAGTGCTGAAGGGATGTGAACCAGCAGTTAGTGTAATGGCTATGTCGCTGGACTCCCATGTAGTCGACTGCAGTTTGAGTCCTGGACCCAGTGGCTTAAAATCACACTGGGTGCGTGTGCGTGCGTGCCCAAGATCCCGAGAGAAGAATGGAGAAGGGATTGTGGCGTGGCCATCCCCCCTGGCGGGTGATTTCTCGTTTTCTGTCTCTCTGTCTCTCTATTCTATGTCTGTCTGGTGAGCGCATGCGCCCTATAGCAAAAACCTAAAGATGTGCTGAAGGGAGTGCTATGCCAGGAAAACTAAAGACAGACAGAAATAAGAGAACAAGAAATGATCAAGAAAAAGGCCAACTTAATGGTATGGACAAGTTCAGAAATACCAATAATCATGTCGAATGTTAACTTTCAGGATTTAATTGAAAGCTCAGACCACAGGAACACTGCAAATTCAGTAGAGATATTCATTACGTGAGTCTGAACTAGTGAAATGGAATTTTTTGACTTTAGACTAGAACATTACTGATTTTCCTCAATGCTTTGATTTCTATATTTTAGGATATTAGTCTTCCCTTGAATTGTTGAGAGGTGCATCTACCTACTATTTGAACTGAAAACCATTTTCCTGGCTTTAAGTTTTAAGCAAATGTCCCCTTTTTAAAAAAAAAATTATTATTTATTTAACTTATTTGTTTTTCATTATTCTCAATTTGGCCAGAGAGAGACAGAGAAAGAGAGAGGGAGAGTGTGAAAGCAAGCCACCAGGTCCGGGACTCAAACCATAGTCAGCCATGTGGGAGTCCAGCGCCTTAACCAGTACACCACCTGCTGGCCCCAAAGCGAATTTCTCTTAACATTTTTTTTATTTGGATCTATTAAAAACTGAAACTGTCTTTCTTGAATTAAAAAATGCATTAAAAATACCTATTAATACCTATTTAATGACTGCAGTAAGCCACAGAGCCCCAGTAAGGTGCTACTTTATAGTATGTTCACTTTATTCACTGATGTTTATGCCTAAAGTCAGACAGTACCGGTGCTTGCTATTGAAAACTTTTAACTTAATTAGGATCTTTAGCGAACCAATAAAATGTGGGGGAAAAAACACATGGAAAACAACTGTAGGTACCAGAGACAGTGTGAGATAAGATGGGGAATTGGCAGAGGGTGAGAGGTAGGGAATCAAAGGGGGAGAAAAAAGTAAAATATATAAGAAACAAGAAATAGAAAATTATTTTTTGATTATACCATGTATAATAGTATCCTTGACTGAGCCAATATACAATGTATTCTGGATGGAAAATCTCATTTTATATACTGTATTGATGTATAATGAATGACTGTAAATAAATTAAGAGAGAGAGAGAGAAATAATAATAATAACTAAAAGAATTACAAATGGGGGCCAGTAGGTAGCGTGTGGTTAAGGGCACTAGTGCCCATATGGCCAACTGCGGTTCGAGTCCTGGACCTGGTGACTTGCTTTCTCACTTTCCAACTCTCTATGTCTCTCTGGTCAAGCAAAAATAAATGAATTAAAATAAATAAAGTAAAAAAATATATTACAATGTACATTTAATCAATTTCACCCTTTGGAGACTATGCTCTAGACAGAAAGCACCCGTAAGTAAGATAACTGTTATCCAGTTACGTATCACTTGTCTGATTGTAAACGAAAGCAACCTGGATAACCACCAGCAGGACAGTGAATAAGGTGTGCCTAGTCTAGTCTACAGAATGTTTTGTGGCTATGAAGAAAAGAGCTGGGCCCTAGATCTGTAGACCTGAAGAGATGCTTATGCTACAGTATGAAGTGAGGAAAGCAAGAGTCAGAGAAATGCAGTATGAGAAGAGTTGTTGATTTTTTTTTTTTTTGGGAGACGTTTTTGCTATAGGGCATGTGCGCTCACCAGACAGACAGAGAGAGACAGAGGGGACAGAAAGCAAGAAATTACCCCCCAGCGGGGATGGCCACACCACAATCTCTTCCCTTCCATTCTCCTTTCAGAATCTTGGGCACGCACGCACACGCGCCCGGCGTGAGTTTAAGCCACTGGGTCTGGGATTTGAACTGTGGTCGACTACGTGGGAGTTCGGCGACATAGCCAGTACGCTAACTGCTGGTCCCACAGTATGAGAAGAGTTTTACAAAGAAAAAAACCCTGCATATGTGTCCTTTCCATGGATTGCAATAACTGGGATACTATAAATATTCCCATTGTACTGTTGACCTTGGTGGCCTCCAGGGACGGGGCAGGAGAGGGAACAACATGGGAGGGAGCTCCTTATTTTCCTTCTTTTTGTCACTTCACCTTTCTTCAATGGTTCTCAGAAATGCTAACTTTGTCATTTTGGAAAGGGTGTTATTAAAGATTTAAAAATACACAGACCCTTCCTGAGACACCTTGATTGGCTGATAGGGTAGAAGGCAGATATCTGCATTTTTTTTAAATTGCCGAAGTGTGTGTGTCCTCACCACTCAGTTGGATGAATAAATGGTTAAGTAAATTGCACAAATAAATCACAGGATTGGGATTCAAACCCCAGGTGAGAGAGAGAAAGAGAGAGCACCCCCGAATGGGGCATGGTCACGCTGCGAATGCTTCTCCATTTCTGTGTCCTGTCAGGATTTGAAACTCACATGCACATGCTACTGGTATGTTTTTAAGCTTCTGGGGCTAGGATGCCAATCATTGACAACTGGCCATGTGAAGTTTGGCTTCTTTTAACCACTAAGCCTATTTGCATTTTGAAAGT